CCACTGACACTTGTATGACGCGCGTCACTACTGAAGAAAGCGGGCAGCAGTTCTCAAATTTGGTTCAGTCCTACACATGCGTGTTATGTGCGTGCGTGTGTGTGTGGGATGCATTCCTGTGTTCCCACCAGAGCCGTGGCGTGAGCCCTGCAGGTACTGCGCCTGCAGGCGGCCTCGAATGTTTGAGGAGCCCAAAGTAGTGATGTGGGGAATTTTTTTTTTTTTATATAGAGAGTAGGCCCCTACATACTGCGCCAAAACTAACAGTACTGAATAGAAAATACGAACAATACGTTCAATAAGTCTTTGTTTTCGTCTGTCAATTTATTTCACCTGAAAGAAACTAACACAACCATTATTAGAGTGTTAATTTATAGCGCTATGCGTAAGGAAAATGTTCAGAGCGTGCAAGGGAATGAATGAAACAAAATTATGGGAAAACCTGAACACAAAGAACGCAGCAAAACAAAGAACGTGTCGGCAATAAGCCTTCATCAGCACACAAACAACAGTAAAAACAGAATTACATTAAAAAATATTTATATATATATATACTTAGCTGAAATGTAGTATCTGAGAGGGCAGCGAGAGGACTGTAATTTTGTAATTGATACTAACATTGTGATTTAGATATTTAGTCATTCCACCACAAACGAATTTCTCTGCTTATACCCATAGGTCATAAGCAGCTTGATTTTAAAAAAAAAATATATATATTAAAAAATTATTGATTATTCTCTTAGATCATGACCTAAATTTTATTTTTGACAATGCTGAAAGCAAGATATTGAAAAAAAATAAATAAATAAAAGAGAACCGTTGCCGCAGAGCTAGCATTTTAATCAGATAGAAGGGAAATAACCCCGGTATTTGCAATTAGAGTTACCTTTCCCCCCTCTGATTCTAATGCATTCATTAGATGACTTGGTTCACGTGCATTTAATTAGCAATGCATTAACATGTCATATAATATATACAAAATTTACCAAAACCTTACCCCCCCCCCCAAATGCTGCATAGCCATTAGAGAACCCGTTTTAAACGAGTTGGAGAAGTTTAGATTCAGCGTGGTTAGGATGTGAAGGGAGAAAAGTAAAAGAAAACGAGTAGCTGGGGTGGGTAGGAGTGTTAGCAAACATGCTGAAACTCAAGCCAGTGCCGTCTGGGCAAACCCGATCCAATGAAGCTAATTAAACGGAAGTTCAGCTGGAATCGTCTGGAAATGTTTCTGTAAACGTGTCACAGGATATTGGTGAATGTTTTTTTTTTTTTAAACGTAATATAACTCAGCTTATTACTATATCGTGCTTTTAAAAATACACCTCCTCTTTCCATCCTACCTCCTGTGCCTGCAGACTAGGGTCCTCTCTCCATCCTACCTCCTGTGCCTGCAGACTAGGGTCCTCTCTCCATCCTACCTCCTGTGCCTGCAGACTAGGGTCCTCTCTCCATCCTACCTCCTGTGCCTGCGGACTAGGCCTGGTTGGTCTCTCCCTTTATATACCGGTCTTACTCTATTTTCTAGTTTCCCTAACCTAATCATTAATGTATTTCAACAATTTAATGATTAGGGTAATAAAAAAAAAAAAAAAAAAAAAAAAAAAAAAAAAAAAAAAAAAAGTTCTTCCGATATCATTAATATATTTAAAAAATTTAAAAATAAAGGTAAAAAAAAAAAAAAAAAAAAAAAAAAAAAAAAACCTCTAGGAATGTTGTAGTTGTAACATAAAAAAGTTAAATGAATTAAAAATAATTTATATTCATTGATGGGTAAAATGAGATTGGGGTGGGGTTAACTAAAAAACAACAACAACATAATTAGGTGATTAACAATAGCATATGTGGGCTATTTAAGATATGAGCTTTAAAAATGTATGAGCTGAAGGTTCACCTGGACAACATCCCCCACCCTTTTTTTTTCCACCCAATAAATTAAAAACTCCAAACCATAACATTACGGCGGTTAGAGTAGTTAGGGCGTGAGATCTTTCGGGAACAAAAAAAAACCACCTTGGGGATAAACAAGTTGCATGAAAAAATACTGGCTTAAAAACCACGTGCTTGCAGGCAGCAAGCCACGCCACCTGTCCACTGTCACACACATTAACAACTTTTACTTTGAGTAATTTTTTTTTGTCAACTTGTGATGCATTATTTAATTAATTAATGTATTTATTAATTAATTAATTTATTAATTAATGTATTTATTGATTAATGTATTTATTAATTAATGTATTTATTAATTAATCAATTAATTAATTAATTAATGTATTTATTAATTAATGTATTTATTAATTAATGTATTTATCAATTAATGTATTTATCAATTAATGTATTTATTAATTAATGTATTTATTGATTAATGTATTTATTGATTAATGTATTTATTAATTAATGTATTTATTAATTAATGTATTTATTAATTAATTAATTTATTAATTACTGTATTTATTGATGAATGTATTTATTAATTAATGTATTTATTAATTAATGCATTTATTAATTAATTAATTTATTAATTAATTAATGTATTTATTAATTAATGTATTTATTAATTAATGTATTTATTGATTAATGTATTTATTAATTAATGTATTTATTTAATTAATGCATTTATTAATTAATATATTTATTAATTAATGTATTTATTAATTAATGTATTTATTTAATTAATGCATTTATTAATTAATATATTTATTAATTAATGTATTTATTAATTTAATAATATTTTTTTTTTCAGAAAAGAAAGAGAGATAAAACAGATGCTGGCCCGGCTACAGCAGACCCAACAGCAGACCACGGAAGTGACCCACAATTCCAGCAAACAACAGGAAATCTTTCACATGATCATCTCACAGTTCCCGTGGCTGGCTGATAAAAACACGCTGGGAAACTATTTCACCGATGAGCTCTTTACGGGCACGGAGCGGTATCACAAGAGGTACACTCACAGCTCACTGTCGATCTTGCCGTACTTCCAAGACTTTGATGGTCATTTTGAAAACTGCGTTCTGGGAACCGGAACGCTGCAGAACCAAGCGGTGTCACCCGCGATGACGTTTGAGAACCGGCACAAGTGGGACCGCTCGGAGGAAGCGGTTTTTAAGTTTAAGCACAAGTTTAAAATTCACTACGGGGAAGCAGCTTTTGGGATGTGTGACAGTTTACCAGCAACACCAGGCAGTAACGTCAACGGGGAAGGCCGGGGAAAATCTGGGTCACAGCCCTGTGGTCATGTCCTCATCATGCAGGACCCCCTCAGGCTGGCCATCGCTCACTACGGTGCTTGTCTCCTTGACCCCTCGGGGGGATCCCTGTGTCAAATGGCCCTCGACCCGGATATCCACATCGAAGGCTGGATAAAGCACAGGGGAAATGTCGTGTTCAGGAACCTGGTCTTCAACTCTGATATTTGCTCGATGCGTATACCCAAGCACAAGCCCGAAAATGAATCGGACACGAGCAGACTTTTCCACAAGGCAAAATACAGCCCTGGTCACGTGACCTTACAAGAGGTCTGTGAAAGCCACCACAGGGATCTTCTTGACAGCCTTGATCCAGAACTACTAAAACACCTGCTGGACTACATACTGCACCATCTTAACAGCTGGTTTTCTTTAGTGGGGACATACGAAGATTTCATCAACTCGCTGACAATCCTCCATCACGTTTTCAGATTTCCTCTCCACTCGTGTGAATTCCTGTCCCAGTTTTCAACTTCCGAATCTGGTTACATTAAGCACAAACTAAATTCCGAGGATGCTCTAACGGAAGTGTTTTTCTCGCAGAACAAAGGAAATGCAGCGGCGCGTCCACCATCATTGCTCTCGCTGTTGAAAAGTAAAGATACTGAGTTGTCTTTGCTTAAGGCTTTGAGTCATGTAGAAAATAAACTTGCCCCAAATTTACAGGACATTCCACAGGCTTTGAATGATGTTGATAACTCCACTCTCACAGACCATAAGAAGACAGATTATGATATTGTGGATCTCCTGGAGGAGGAGGAGGTGACCCATGACGTCAAAGAAGACGGCTCAGACAGAATAAATGACGAGGACATTGTGGACGTTTTAGAAAAGCTAGCAAGGGAAACACAGTCTCACTACTTTGAGGACTTGAGCTTCAACGACACAGTCGACCCTGAAGATGATGACAGCTCCGCTGGTGATGAGGACGAGGTGGACTCACGTTCTGAACAAATTAGATCCGAATACATAATTCCTTATGATTCCAGGCAGCTCACATCTAATCGTGCCTGGGATGGTCTTTACGACAGACTCTCAAACGACCAACAGGTTTTAAAGGCTGTTGAGCTAGATCTACAGATTTATGCAGCTGTTAAAAAATTGTACCAGGTTCAAAAATTATTATTTTTTAACTCCATAAAAAACTGAGTCTAGCTATAAAAAAAGTATTTATTAAAAATAATAATAATAATCCATTTTTAATGTGAATAAATGAATAAATGCAATAAAAGGAATAAGCCCTGGTGTGATTTATTTGACAGATTTAGTGTTGAAATGCCCGGCTCAAGGCAGTGAAAACATTTTTTTCCAGAAGGTGACTATTGCATGAATATCTCTGTACTTATTGTTGGTTAATTGCTTTAACTTAGCTTAAAGTGGAACAGAAACATATTATTATTAATGAAACCAAAAACTTAGTTATTAAATAAACAACCCCTTATTAGAACAAAGTTTTGCATATAAATTTTACAAATACCACTGTATAAGAATTCCAACTAGTGCCCCAATTTTTGGGTCGAGGTTGAAAATTTGATAAAATGTTTTGTCATTGACAATGAGTCTATGTGTTAAGTTTCAGCTCCATAGGTTGATGGGAAGTAGGTCAATGAGCCGTCTGAAGATTTTGCCACTCTGCCAGCCATGAAGAAAAGCAAAGTTAATATGAAGGATTTAAAAAAAAAAACCAGCTCAGCTATTTCCTTGAGAGTGATGTAATTAGAACATAACAATGGGTCTGAATACTAGGGCATTTCTCTCTTGTTCAAGGAACTAACATATTTTGACTGGGATTGCACTTTCCTTAAAACATGCAGAGAGGCACAATGTAAAAGATGATAAACAAAACTGCAAATTCATTTTGTTGAATGATTTATTCCCCACTTCTTCCATCAATGAGATCAAAACTCAATTTCATTCACAAACAATATTTGCTTCCAATCGCACACTGGTACACACAAGCACACACACACAAATGCACCATAAATAGTTATTCTTTGACTTCCACCACTTGTTTTTTCCGGTCTGGTATGAAAGGGACAGAACCAGGTTTGCTGTGAAATCTGCGATTGCTCTCCCTGCGAGGAAAAAACTTGTTAGTTACAGATGTGTTCATGTATTTATATCAGTTTTAACCTTAATTCATTCAATCTAGGAGAATTAAATTAAGAAGTTAAAAGAAGGTTGGGAAGAGGCTTTGTGATAGTTTTGTTCAGTATCATTGTTAGTAAGGTATTATACATTTTATCCAAATATGTTTTGAACAAGTTAAACTTAAATCAAAGTAAAAAAAGATTTATTAACATCAGATATCAAATATTGATGTTCATAGAGGGTGATCTTGAACTCAATGATAGCATAGCCTTTTGAAAAAAGATTTTTTAAAATCCCAGGATGTAATGGACTCAATGGCCAAGTAAGGTGACTTCTTTTGGGAAGAGGAAAATCCCTAGAAATAAAACTTTCCCTTTTTTAAGTTCTATACATTTTTCATTCAGTATGACAATACACAAAATAAATATGGTATTGCTTAAACAGTTGCAGCTGCTGAGGGCAAAGAAATCGTGAAAGAGAATTTTTTTATAAATACAAAGATTAAAAATATTAACTATAACTTTAGTTTCATAGTGTGTTTGCTACAACTAATGACAACAATGCATACGCAAACATACTTTCTCTTTTGAGACTCCTTGATTTCTCTGAGTTCTGCCTTCTGCTGATGGATAAGTTTAGGCAGATGCCTGTGTCTGGATATTCTTTTAATCTCAGGGTGGTCCTTGAACATCTTCTTGAGGGTCTCAGCTGTGTTGAAGGCAGTCCTCTCCCTTGGTTTTAGCTGAGAATTGGAAAGATCAGCTAAACAGACATCCATTGCAAAAATAGAAAAAAAATACACATAGACGTTAATTTAAACTCATTCCCTGAGCAACTGATACATTTGTTAATTTTTTAAACTTATCATTTACTTTGCACGAATAATGTCTGTATTAATGCCTTCACAGTCTAATTGTTTAACCAGCCTCCATAAGTCTTGGACAACTCAAATTTGATTGTACAAGACATTTTACTCTTATCAGAGTTTGACGGATCCATTGGAAATATTAAAAAAAAAACAACAACCCCCCACCAAACAAAACTTAGAAATTCAAAAAATTGTTTTATAGGAATTGCTATTTTAGGGAAAGATTCATATTTTTATGTGTATAATTAAATTCATGCAAACAATAACAAAACCAAAACAAATAATTGTTGGTAAAAAGATGTAATCATTTGTGCCAACTTGATTTGATTAGTCTTTGACCTACCACTCCCAATTTCTCTGAAGCCTTTGCCTTCCAGAGCCTGATGTTCATTTCATCAGAGCCAGATAATATATACTTGTTATCCATGGACCATAAGATGTGATTCACACGTTGCATTCGTTTTCCTGTGTACACATCTCTATATTAAAAAAAAAATGAAAATACTGAGTTAAATAAAGAAAACAAATGATGATTTACCCAACCAATTATGTTTTTAATTTTAAAATCTACATTAAAATAATATAATCATATTTACTTCATATAAAATTACACAGACAAAACTTAAAATTTTACAAAGAAACATCCTTTTGTGATCACCAATGTATCATTAGTTAATCTTCAAAATCGTCTCCTTAACCTCTCCCTGAATGGTCATTAAGTAGAAATAAAAACAGTCATGTTGCATACTTGTACACTCTAGTTATGTACATAATGAGAAGAGGCGATGAACCTCAGTAAACTCTCCCAGCTGTCTTGTCTTCCAACCATTTTCACAAAACTGACTTGACAACACATACTTTTTCAGCCCCAAATACCACAGATATTATTTTGATTGGTATACAGTATTATACAGGTGCATCATGCTATGATATAAAACAGTATGAGATACCAGCACAGCAGTTTAAACACTTAGAAGAGGGGTTTTCAATGTTTTTCTAATGGGGGTGGGGGCATTTGGCGCAGCTCCACTCCTACATATTCTTATTCAGTTCATATTTATTTAAAATAAAATCGAGCACAAAGATAAAGTCTTCTGAATTACTTTCATAGACTTTTCAAAGGCATTAGACTCGTTCAGGCAGAAAAAAATAGACTCCCCGTAGAAAACAAACAGCATCCCATACCCCCTCTGGATGAACCATTCCTGTCATGTTGATCCCCAAAAACACGTACAGCACAGAATGCTTCAACAACTGATATCTACTAGCACATAGTGGCCTGGAAAGGGAAAACACTTGGCTCGCCTGGGCGGCACCAATCCTAGCTATGCTAATGAACAATAGAGTGAAGCAAGATCTGTTTGCTCATACCCATGCTCTTTGCCAACTTCTTCCCTGTCCGCCTACAGAAATGTAACTAATCAGCCATCCTCTACACCAGGTTAGACAGAAAGCAGTTCAGCATGGCCGGTCTGCCGGCAAAGCCTAAGACACAATGGTACTCAACATTGGGCTTTGTGAAGATGCAACCTAAAAAGCTACACTTAGAATAACTGCAGTACCCCAGTCTATGGCTAGGCTCACTGCAGTAACCCAGTCTAGGGCCAGGCTCACTGCAGTACCCCAGTCTATGGCTAGGCTCACTGCAGTAACCCAGTCTAGGGCCAGGCTCACTGCAGTAACCCAGTCTATGGCTAGGCTCACTGCAGTACCCCAGTCTAGGGCCAGGCTCACTGCAGTAACCCAGTCTAGGGCCAGGCTCACTGCGCTTCCCATAAAAATTAGCAATTACAGAAAATTATACATTTAAAAACAACAATTGGTAAAAAGCTTAACCTCATCCACCCAAGTACTATCTACCCCTGTCCAGTCATGGTCAGCACCCAACCCAAGTACTATCTACCCCTGTCCAGTCATGGTCAGCACCCAACCCAAGTACTATCTACCCCTGTCCAGTCATGGTCAGCACCCAACCCAAGTACTATCTACCCCTGTCCAGTCATTGTCAGCACCCAACCCAAGTACTATCTACCCCTGTCCAGTCATTGTCAGCACCCAACCCAAGTACTATCTACCCCTGTCCAGTCATGGACAGCACCCAACCCAAGTACTATCTACCCCTGTCCAGTCATGGTCAGCACCCAACCCAAGTACTATCTACCCCTGTCCAGTCATGGTCAGCACCCAACCCAAGTACTATCTACCCCTGTCTAGTCATGGTCAGCACCCAACCCAAGTACTATCTACCCCTGTCCAGTCATGGACAGCACCCAGCAGCATCGAGCGTTGTTCATCAGTTAGAGGGGGGTTGCATCATGGTGTAAGACTCCCTCCTCCCACCTTTGGCATTGAGGGGTACAACCTGGATATTGTTGTGAACTTTACATGTCTTGGGGCTACCAAACTTTACATGTCTTGGGGCTACCACCTAAATCTAGGTTTCCATTGATGATGAACTATTGTACGGCCGGTCCACATCCTTCTTAGCAGCCACTTCTGCTTTATAAAAAGTCAACTGGCAGATTTCAATATATTTTTGGGGAAACATTAAAGGAATTTTGAGGAGCCCCAGTTGAAAACCACTTAGGGAATCATGACAATGGTAGACAGAGGCATGAGCCTCTTCATTGCCTCCCCTGCTGTGAACTGCAGTCCCCAAGACATACCAGGGTTTTGAGAATGGATATTGTGGTTCGTTGGGGAACATGTTTGGCACCCTGACGCTTGCTACTACTTGTGATGTGATGACCCTGCGATGCTGTGTCTATACTGTCTATGCCGTTTCTTTGGCAGTCAGCATCTAGTTTTTATGTGAGTAGGTTGTGATTGTTATCCTCTGGTAGTGAGATGCACTACATCTTTGAATCATTGCAGGACCTGGTGATAAATAACTTGGACTAAAGTTTAATTTATTCTTGGAATACGGACTTGTGTTCAGTATTAATGAGATAACGATGCATGAACGGGTAAACGAATTTGCTGTGAGAAAATCAACCGTACAGGCTCATCACCAGGGCAAAAGAGAGACACCGTGTAAGAGCCTCCTGTGCTCACACCCTCAGGCATTGCACCAGAAAGTGGGTTTCTTCGAGCTCACAACTGTCAGTAAAGAAACCACTCACCTGCTATGACCCTCGACAGCATTGAAAATTCTAACAGCCCTGTCATAGCCAGCAGTCGCAAACTCTTTCCCAGTGGGTGCATAGTCAACATCCATGACTAATGTGTGAGAGGGGGGCAAAAGTGTACATTAAATTAAACAGATGAACAGGGACACATGAACAAATTCGTAAGTAAATTTATGCATTCAGGGATTTTTATATATCGCATTCAATGTTAAATTTAATATCCTGATTTAATGTTTAAATTGAAATGGGTGTTTGCAACATAACTTGCAACAAAATGCATGAGTACAGTACCTGCACCTATGTGGTCTTCATGTTTGTTGGATGCTATGCTCAGATTTCTGATGTCATATGTATACAGGCTGAAATAAAAAAAAAGGTCACATAACTTCTCTCTTCTTCCTCTTTATTTTGAGGGCCCACAATAAATGTATTGATCCTTCTGGCATCTCTTACTACTTAACCTGCAAATATCATGTGTAGTAAAACATCCCTTACTTGTATCAAATAAAACACCCCACAACTCCACATTCCCAAAAAGAAATAAAAATTCTTCTGGGACTACCTTGATGGCCCCTCTAATTCAAGCAAATCATAAAGTAAATTCAACACTTAAGAAGTTAAGTGAAGGATGGTCAGTAAGATCCCTGGTATCCCCAAATAGTGATACAATGCATATTATGGTTAACAGTTAGCTAAGAGAGAGAGAGAGAGAGAGAAAGAGAGAGAGAGAGAGAGAAAGAGAGAGAGAGAGAGAGAAAGAGAGAGAGAGAGAAAAGTTTGAGCTTTTTGGAAATGGTACCAACTAGCTGTAAGATTTATTATGGTAAAATGGTAGCTCAGAGAGAGATGGAGCACAGAGACAGATACAGAGAGAGCAGTTAGAGTTGTTCAGTAATGCAAACAACTTACTTGTAATCATCACAGGCAGCAGTGAACACAAAGGCTTGCATGGGATTCCAGCTGATTGCATTGGACCTCATTCTCATAATAAGCTGGATACAAAATAGTTTTAAAAAAGCATAAAAAAAAGTTTTAAAAAAGAACCTGAAATGGCTTTATATTTAGACACTTCAATTTAAGAAGATTTTTTTAATATGTGCAATCAACTTTAGCAATGTGGGGCTTTGTGAACCAAGAGAATTGGAATGAAATTCACAAAGCAAGTTAAATATAACAATATTTATATATATGATAGATGACCTATATAAAGTTAGAGTTGGTAATTAAACAACCCTTAAAAGAAAAAGTTTTTCGTGTAAATTCTTTAAAGGCATTTTTTTAATGATTTAATTTTATATATACACTCTAATGTCCAACCCGATTTTACACAGCAGATTTATTTCACGAACTATTTCAGAAAAACAAAAGAAAATATTACACAAGTGCGTTTGGTGTACACTATTTCCTTTTGATCCTTATGCCTAAACGCACTTGCAATATTTTTTTAAAGAATCTCATTTAGTGCAGATCGGTAATATTATTTTGTGAAATCAGTGGCATCATATTTCCTTAATCTTCCCTTTGAAAACCAGGATTTTTTTTAGGGTTGGTTTTGTCGGGCTGAAAATTTGATAGAAAGTGTTGTCATCTGCAACAATTCTATGTGCCAAGTTTCATCTCGATAGGATGACGGGAAGTGGGATAATTAGCCTTCCAAAGATTTTGCCAGCCAGCCACGAACAAAAGCTAAGTTAATATTAAGGTTTTAATAAAAAGGATTATTGGGCATAGCTCTGATAAAAGTAGTTAAGCAACTGTATAAACAAACGAACTCCAATAACAAATCAACCTAACAAAAAGATATTTTCAAAAAATATAAGCACTAAAATTTTATATTTTTGTGTTAAAAAAACGGGATGAATGCAAACCTTTTGAACACCAGAGCCCCCTCGTGTGTCGTACAACATAATACTTCTGTCATCTGCTGCTACTGCCACTAAATGTGTCTGAAATGTGGGTAAAGTATTTATAAGCCTCAAAAACACATTTCAGAACTATTATCTTTTCAACATTTTTATTTAAAAAAAAGAAAGAAAGAAACTGTTCACAAAACTAGTATCAAATAACCTAAGAAAATTCCAAGTAGGCCCTGTTAACAAGGCATCCATCAATCTATGTTGGAGAGACATCTATGATTTCAAACTAAACCTTTTAATATGTTAGGGTCCTTGGGTTTTAACAGACTGACAAATTGGTCAGTGGCATAGAGAGAAACCAAGGTCAAGTAGCCCCAGAGTAATTCTAAATTAAATAGGGTATCCTACCACAAAATAGGACGTGAAATGAATTAATTATCTTTCATTCTACTTCACAGACTGTGGTGTGGGTAAGTGTGTTACATGACATAACGATAGTTGGAGAACTAGAGATCAGCCCTGAGACCATGAAGTTGATCAGGAAAAAATATACTCAATGATATCAATAAAAGATTGAAACCTGCAAACCTGGTTTACAATAAAAATGACTATTTAGGGCCCCTTACCTCAATTCTGTTAAACTTGACATGGTGCATGCTGTCCAGTCCCCAAGTATAAGACTGAAATGGCTGTGCCCTATCACCTGCCCAAACATCTAAAGACTGGCCGCAGGTGACAAAAATATCTTCATGTTCATGGTGGTCAATGCCCTGATAAACTTGCTGAAAAATTCATAGTGTTGATAATAAATGTATTTTAATGTAACAATGCAAGTAACTAAGGAATATGGCAACAATTTGGAATATCATAAAGCTGTAGACAGGTCATTAAATACAAAGATTTTTTAAGCAGAGAATTTTGTAAAAGTACATGTTTTTATTTTTCTCCTTAAATCAACACAATGTGTATTAAATGCAGTGATCCTACAGCATGTTCAGTGATATTAAAATACCAGTGGCTCAAAATGCAAGATTTTTATCATGCTTTGCTATCATATTACTATAAACACTTGTGACTTTCCAAAACAAATTTTTAGTTTATATCATGACTGTTCAGTTCCTTTCACAAACGATTTTGTTATAACCTTAACATAAAAGTTACCTTATTAAGTATTGTCCTAATAGGTTCCTGTGTGATATTGCCCTCTTCAGAACATGCCCAGAATTTAATGTTTGCATCTTGACCACACTAGGAAAGAGAAAGTAAACTCAGCTTGAAAATAGATGTAAAAAACTTAAAATAGTTTTAACATAAATAACATATTGAATGAGTTCACCTATTAGAAGAAATTCAAGCCTCAACAAACCTCCAATAAAGACTTAAAATTTTAAGGTGCTCAAAATATTATTTATTTTTATTCACTGTGATACAATGGATGATGTTGTACTAACAGACATGAAGAAGTTTCCACTTCTGTGTGAACACAAGCCACGAACAAGTCCATCATGTGCCAAGACACTGCTCACACAGCGCTTTGTTGCCAAGTTCCATAATCGAATCTAAATTAAGGAAAAAAAATATTTTGAGTTGTTTTATAAAAACCATGCTGAAAACTTTAATTCCAAGTAATAGAATAGATTGGGTATTCTTTCTTATGCATTTTTTCATTAAGTAACAAAACATCGCATGCGATTTAATTTTAGTTTTAAATTAAAGATCAAAGTGATTGTTTGCAAGTGCCAATGAAAGTTGATTAAAAAAAAGGGAAATTATGTAATTAGAAACATATATGGACATGTTTATTTACCTCCCCATCACTAGCAGCAGACAAGACATGTGAAAGTCGTGTTGGGAACTTTGCTAAAGCTTCTATGCCATCTCTGTGACCCTCCAAGCCACACAAGAAAGGTTTTGCAAACACTCGTTCTAATTTTGTAGCATTCAAGGCTCGCTGATATTCTCTGTCGATTGCAAATGGGTGGAGATATCCTTCTGGGTTTATTGGAGCTGAAACAAATTAAATTCTATTAACCTAAGCTAAATTTGAGGCAAACATAGTAACCTCAGGCTAAGATCAGCACAGTGAATGGTCTACAAAAGCACCAAATCAACATTCTCACTCAAATGGTTTAAAAAGTATGAATTTTTTAGAAGGACCTAAAATTCACTTTTTTGTTATGGAGTTGTCCTCCACATTTCATGACCAGTTTTTTTTGCATATATTTTTTGCCCTGTAACTCTATTATGCAATGAGATAAAAATAAAATATTTACAGGGAACATATTTAATGAGAAATTCTTCTAAATAAAGCTACAAAATATAAGTTTAGTCTTTGTTAATATTCAGCAAAATATTTTAAGTAATATCTAAAATATTCTTGGATTATTGTGGCAGAAAGTGCATTATTTCTTTGAGAATACCGAGGATTATATAATAATTCTTTTGTGGAATATAGTGATATGTGATTAATTAATGGATATTTCAATATCAAAGGTAAGTGAATCTTTTTTTAACATTTCAACTTAATTTATCCTTAAGAATCATCATAATATTCATTAAAATACCATTACTTACATCAAATGAATAATGTGTCATACAAATAATAAGTTGTGGTGGGTTTAGGTCTATATATATAAATAAATTAATTGTAATAATAATGAGGTTAATTAATTAAGAGCTATTTTACACACTCCCAAAGTCAATTTCCCTCAATAAAAGCATATTAAAAATATGTATTTGTGTTATTAAATTATTTTTTTTTTTAAATTCTAAATGAGTTATTATGGAGCAAAAACTCTAGATTTCCAGTGTAAATCAAGTTATTTACTTTAAAAAGACAAATTATACACACAAAAAATATGAATGTAAGTTAGCATTATTTTACCTTCAATTTTCAAAGTTAAGACCTCAAATTCTATTTAGAACAAAAGTGTTTGATAATAAAACGATATGTCTATTCTAAGAAAATTCATAGTAGGCAATTCTGTAAAGCAAGGGAGACTACTTGTATGGGAAATGGGAATTGGCACAGAAGAATGTAAGTTTTTAATCTTTTGGAAAATGGTGCATTTTCATTGATGAAAGGACTATTTTGACATTAATTGGGGTATTCATAAACACATTTACAGTAGTGGACATCTTGGCCTACATTTTCATCGTAATTTTCCCAAAATTGTGGAAGAAGTTCAAAATATATGTCTGTCACATTATAGCTTGATGTATACATGTGCCATTTCTCATGAGCAGCCATTCACAGTCACTAGCATGTACTATACTACTAGAGTATTATTCTCATAGCTTCATTCATAAGAGATTGCCATGTGTAAACACTATTGAATCATTGGCCAGGGAAAGCTTTAATTAATTAGTCATGTGCCAAAGTTGAAAGTTCAAAATGAGCAGTCCCAAACCAGGATTATTTTTAGGAGCAGCCTTGCCTTACATTGTCTATATATAAATAAAATATAATGGAAGCCTAAGACTAAGTGAGCAGAACATCCATTTCATAGTTATTAAATTTAATAATAATATTACATAGCTAGGTACATTAAAATTTATAAAATTAAAATTAATAAACTAGCCTTAATCCTAAAAATAAAAGTTTAATAAAACTATCATTTAAAGAAGATTTATAGCGCTATCAGCGGAATAGGGTCACAATATAATACTAATAAAGATTATTTGAAAATAATGCTTCATCCCCAAAGGCTCGAAGCGCGGTACATACCAAATTGAAGTACAAAATGCAACATTACAAAAACTACCCATTCTAAGTCTCTTATACCTTGCAACCATAAACAGCACAGGCCAATATACATCTACAAGATAATAGCTAGATAGACAACATCACCTCAGCATGTGTTTGTGAAATAGATAAGTCTTCAAATCAGTTTTGAAAGAATCCAGTGTCTGACTATTTCTGAGAGCGACAGGGCCAGCAAATCCGAAAGTGCGCCCCTCGTAAGTCTCAAGGCAAACACGTGGTATCGAGAGTCTGTCACTTTCAGATGAGCAGAGTTGTCTAGTGGGTACATAAGGTGTCAGTAGCGCTTTGAGATAGGATGGTGCCAGGTCATGCAAGCAGCGGTAGGTAGCACAGAGTTGCAATTTTGTACTCTATGCAAGAGCGGACCGGCAGCCAATGCAACTCTCTCAGAAGTATTTTAGCATGATCGAATTTGCGTTTTCGAAGAACAATACAAGCCGCATTATTCTGTGCTTTTTGAATTTTATCCAGGAGCGTAGCTAGAGGACCCACCATAAGAGCCTTGCAGTAGTCCATGCCTGATAGCACGAATGCAGACACCAGCCTCTTTGATGAATCTAACGTTAAGAAAGGTCTAATATGACTAATTCTGCGCAGCTCTAGAAAAATCGCCTTCCAAAGCCTGTTAATGTGATTTTCCATAGTTAGTGTTCTGTCTAAGTAGACACCCGGGTTTTGCATACTCAATCTGTATACCTGAGAGAGTAAGGGTTTGTGTGTTCTTTAAATATTTTAGCTTTTGAGCAGTAGAAATGGGGATCAGCTCGGCCTTTTCATCGTTCAATTTAAGCTTGTTTATGGTCATCCAGTGCTTAACTGACTCCACTGTCTTCTGTGTCATACTAAGAAGCTGAGGGAACTGAGAGGGGATCAAAGAAGTTGGGTATCATCCGCGAACATGTGATATATCATATAAACTGCTTGATCACTGCACCCAGAGGCTGAACGTACATAGTGAAAAGCACCGGGCCTAGGACCGAGCCCTGGAGTACTTCGAATTCAATGATAGATTGCTTCGAGGTCAAGCTGTTTGCGATAACTGATTGGACCCGATTTTTCTGATACGAGCAGAACCATTTCAGGACGGTATCATTGAAACCGAACGTATTTTCCAGACGTTGGAGAAGTATGCCATGGTCAAGCGTATCGAACGCAGCTGATAAATCACATAACGACAAAAGTGATATCTTGCCCTCACCACAAGATGACAGGAGGTCATTTATGGCGCGCAACAGGGCTGTCTCGGTAGAGTGATGAGCCCTGTATGCTGGCTGAAAAGGCTCAAACAAGTCGCACTGAGTGAGGTGAGTCAGGAGCTGGCGGAGAACGACTTTCTCCAAAATCTTCTATACAAATGGTAGATTGGAGTGCAGTCCATAGAAAAAAATACCAAATGAACTCCCACTTTAAAAATTCATAGCTCAAAAAGAACTTAAGCTAGAAAGTTGATTCTGTTTCATTTTTTAAATTCGCTTTATAAAACTGTCATATTTATATAATTTTTTTATACTGAAGTAGTAACTAAAATGCCTATAATCATAGTAATCAATATCAAATTGATAGAAACTTGAGAGTGCTTTGTTGACTATGTTATTAGGGTCTATTTGAGACTATAGTGTTTTTATATCATTATAGACATAGGACTAGTCTAAGTTACATATTTATTACCAAACACATGAAACAGTATAGCCTAGCCTAAGTTAGCTAAACACTAATTTAAGGTACTAATATTAATAATAAGCAGCGACTTAGACTTAACTAAGACCCGGCAAGTAAGCCTACTTAAAGGACTAGATAAAGATAGAAAATACAATTTAAAAAAAGTGTCTATTGGTAGCTTAATACCTATAGCTTCTAGGGAGCTATTTGTACTAATCTACCAATAGCTTCTAGAAAGCTATTGGCAGTCCAGCCAATCAAATCAAACCAAAACCGGAACTTTAAAAACCTGCTTTTAATCACGCTGGCAAAGTATTGAGCCATTTATTTATTACTACTTTGTACTAGTGACAACACCTCAGTGCGATAATGAATCCTGAAGTAATTTTAGCTTCAAATTGCTATTTTGATACTTTGAAAAAGATTTGGAAAATGCCATCAAAGTCAAAGCTTTAAAATCCAGCTGAGGCTGAGAAATAATTTTATTGTAATTTGCATATGAATGTGCAAATTATTATGATTAAAATAATTAATTAAAATATATAGGTACTCCAACTGAAATTTTCACACAGACATAGAGCATATCATAGGAAAGAGCTGGCTTTAAGCTTTCCAATGACACCAAGATAATCTTTCTATCATTTATAGGAAAACATTTATGAAATTTTTAGTGATTTATTTTTCCCCACTATTTGGCTTTGCACTTAATTTTTTAACTGTGATGGCATTATTACTCTTTTTGTACTATTTTGCTTGTATTTTTTTGGCTATTAAAGTTAGAGCTCTCAAAATTTGGAGGATACATTTACAATACAATGTTTAACAGAATAAAACACATGAATTGTGAATTAACTTATTATATTTAATTAAATATGACTTTATAAGCATATGGCGTGGATAATGACAATTGTCAAAAAATTTATTTTTTTAAAAAAATGACATAATTACTAAACCATTAAAGCTATTACTATAAAAATTTTCAATACGGACAGATAATGTCCATCTAAAAGTAAGGTAAATTTAAAATAAATAAAATGCAGATCAGAATAAAAATATAGATAATGACAATCGAGGTTACGTCTTCAAAAAGGTTAATCAAGAGCAGTGGACTGAGTGGAAGATAAACAGGGATGGATAACATTAACAAATAGAGTACACTGACAAAAAAGAAGATTGTTTTCAATTAAATTTCAATTAAAGAAATATCCCTAGTATCAAAATTTATTTATTTCATTAATTTATTCTAGTATTAATAGAGGTCTAGTTGTCTTAGTTTATCTAATAATAATAGAGAATAAATACATTGTTATTATTGTTGAAAAAAAGAAGAATTCCTATTACTATTATTGGCAAATTTAATTCCTATTACTATTATTGGCAAATTGATCAATTTCTTATTTATAAAGAATGATTGTACAAACAATTAATTTAAAACAAATTATTATTTTTTGTATACATTTATATTGTTTAATCATATAAGAATCAAAAACATTTGTTTAATCAGATGTTTCAATGATTAAGAAATGTTTTATTTACACCTTTATTTCCAAATAATTTCACCTCCCTACGGTCAATAAAATAATGTAAAAAAAGATGGCCGCCGTTTTTTCATAACATGTGGATTTTTTTTGTTCACTCGGTATCATAAATTCTAGAAATAGCCAGTAATTTTTTCAGTAATGTTAATAAATGCTTTCAATGTTACTGCGATCAAGCTAGCTCGTCTTAAAGTTTGAATGTCGCATCCACCATGCAAAAAAATCAACACGAGTTTAAACTTAGCGACGGTTCGCGCTCCAATTGTTCGTCTGAGACAGGTCAGAATGACACAGCATTTATACCATTGTGACCGGAATTCTTCAGTCTTAAGACTGAAACTTATTTCTTTTTAAAAAAATGATGCATAGGAACGACAAAGCCTGACGTATACCGAAACCCGCCCTTCACGGCTGGTCACAGAAATGTACCTCGCAAAGCCGTCATTTTTTTGCCAGCGACGTCCAGTATTGGTGTACCTAAAATATACTTTAATATAGGCTAGATACTTCGATGAAAGAAGGGAGACTACTATTTTTTTTGTATCGGAAATGGGCGTCGGCGCCGAAAAATACGAGTTTTTAATTTTCCGATGTGTGTGTCTATTTATTATTAAATTAGTTCTTTCCACATATATTTGAGTTCTGTTTCCGGCCTTATAATTTGGAAGACATCTTGGCCTACATTTCTAGCCAGCTATTTTGCTTTTTTCAATCGACCTTTATCTTGAAAATCTTTGGTATATATAAGGCATCTTCGCATACAAAATTTTTTGTGAAATAATAAGATAAGGTCCTTTTTTATTAAATCTGTATGAGCATTAGATATTGATCTATATCTGTGCCAAGTTTCATTGATGTAGGTCGTGTCCCACGTTTGTTACACTTGTCACAGTGACCCATATCACCATAAGGTGGCTCAGCCTAATTATAAGATAAGGTCCTTTTTTATTAAATCTGTATGAGCATTAGATATTGATCTATATCTGTGCCAAGTTTCATTGATGTAGGTCGTGTCCCACGTTTGTTACACTTGTCACAGTGACCCATATCACCATAAGGTGGCTCAGCCTAATTTCGACATGGCTTGGGCCACGCCCCCTTTTTAATGGCGGAAGTTGCCGATACTTAGGAAATATTTAATTATTACCACTATATACATCAAAATATTTTATAATTTGTGTTTCAGAATGCATTTTGAAGACATTTAAACTGGAAATGTTTTAATTTGAGCTTTAAAAACCCTGCAGAGTCCATAATATAAATGATCAGAATTTTCCGTGTGCAACACGTTGTCATTGGCAACCATTCACAGCCACTTGCATAACGGCTACGTTGTAGTACTATCTCAGAGTTTCATTCATAAGAGTTTTCCGTGTGCAAAAGCTACTAAACCATTGGTAAGGGAAAGCTTTTATTAATTATTCATGTGCCAAAGTTGAAAGTTTAAAATAAGTCGACCCTAAACAGTATTTTAGTGATAAGGGAATACGTTGCCTTATATAAACTATATAGTCATTGCGCATGACGCGATCAGCGGAATGAGGTCACAGAATGTGGAGATGCAGTCTATGTTAAAAAAGGACAAACCAAGTCGTACTTTAAAAATTCATAACTTTAAAACTACAACAGCTAAAAATATGATTTTGGTGTTATAATTATGTTTAAAATTAGCTCTATTCAACTGTGCCATTGGTTTATTTTTAAAAAATGTTTACATTTTTGACCAAAGTATCTAAATATAGGCATAATATATCTATAATTACCATAATAATAGTTTTACTGCATACAAAGTGTGCATATTAAAAAAAATCTTGTTACTTTAGTTAAATAAAATAACAATAAAATGACTTAAACTTAAAGATAACAACAGAGAAACTTTGGCCAATCTCACTCTGTTTTAGTTTTAGGCTAGGAACACGGTCACATGAATGAATTCAGTGATTTAATTAAAAAATTAATGAGTACCAAGACTGGAACCACTTACTCAATTATCAATACTGCTCTGCATTAATCTATCACCAACTAGACTAGTGCTACTGAACTAGACTTAGACACTAGTCTAGGGACTACTAGACTAGAAGTATAAGTAAGTTTAATGATAATTATGATAATGTGTAAGTGTAAGTTAAGTTCCAGTTAGGCGAAGCGTACCAATTTGAATAGCCGCAGCCATTAAAAATGTAAAACATTTTAAAAACCTAAAATTCAAATTAACTAACCTCTGTGAATGTCTAGTTTTGTTTCTCTTTTGTAGTTTTCTGGGTTTCTCGATAAAACTTTAAGAGAAAATTGTTTTTTCTTCACAACAGCTGCCATGTTAGATTTCAACAATGTGTTTTTAAACTGCTCAAATTTTTCTCTTTTTTTTCTCCAATTAAGAAGACATTCGCAATTTAAAATTTTTGCTATCTCTTTAATTTTAATGGATTAGAATGAGTTATAAAATCATTAAAGGTCCATATTATTATTTTTTATTTAAGAAATTTAAACACATGTTACTTATGCAATGTTATTCAAATTATTTTTTTTTAAAAAAAGAAAAGGATTTACAAATTGGAAATAAAAAATTTGGTAAATTACGGTAATATGTTTATTTTTTTTACTGGATGCCACCAAAGTTTCAGAAGTCAGTTATTCCTAAAAGTGGTTACAAATATAGTTAAATGTAGTTTCGATTATTTTTTTAATTAATAGCAATTGAAACAATGAATTATTTTTAGGTAAAATATATTTTTTTAATGAATTTTAATAATCAAAGAAATAAAAATACATTTAATTTTCATGGAATAAAAATATGTTTTCGACACAATGCCAAATAACAAATTAATATCGTGTCTCTAATTTTCGGTATCGGGCTAATACTAGGACATTTATTAGTATTTATTTTTCCTCTCCGTTCAGTCATCAACTATGCCTTAAAAATATAAACAATAAATGCTTTCAACTTCTAAAAAAACTAAATATAGGTTCTACAGCTCATTATCATTGTCAGTTTTGCGAATGGCTTTGATAAAATAAAAGTTCCATCTTGAAATTTAGCCTGATGGATAATTTTCGGTACAAACAAGTTTGATGAAACAACTTTTTAATAAGGCAAGTGATTGATGAGGTCGAAGAGAATTATAATATTGAAAATCATCATAAACTCAGTGAATAAATAGGCCTAGCTTAACTAATTAAGACGAATAATTTCAGAAATGAGCTTTATCATTTTGCCCATTTTAAAGGCTTTCTAATAAGTTAGTCTAAAATAAAAGTAAAGTCCTTTTATTTTTATCATAACGAAGTGGCTATTCGGACCTGGGTATCACTAGTCACTAGTATCAGAAGTGAGAGGCTGGGATTTAAACAAATATTTAAAATATTATTATTGGTTTTGTAAGATAAATATTGGTATCAAATGAAAGATAATTGAATGGACTATATGTTTGTAAACTTACTTCTTCAATTTAACTAAAATAAACTACCACAAACGACATCCGAATTGAATAGGGGATAGCATTTTCATTTAGTCTTAGTCTTAGTCTTAACTTAAGACTAAGACACTTAAGTTTAAGTCTAAAGTAAAGGGATCCAGGTCTGAATAGCGACTATGCATACCTGGGTCTTAAGTTTAAGTCTAAAGTAAAGGGATCCAGGTCTGAATAGTGACTATGCATACCTGGGTCCCTTTATTAATTAAAAATTAAAATTACTTTGACAGTTTTGTGTAAATTTACCAACTGTATGCAATAGTCCCACTTAAGCATCTTAAATGATATTACTTAAGTCATGTACTTAAGAAAACTTAGACTTAAGTTTGGCACTTACAATACTTACATCTTTAGACTTTAGTCATAAATCACATTCTTAAGTGAGACACCTTAAGCCTTAAGTAATATTTACTAGGCTTTGGCTATTGGTAGTAAACTACCAGAAGAGCTTCAAGGGAGCTATTTGTAGTAAACTGCCAATAGACACTTTCATTTACTAATATTAGTATTAGCCTATAATTAGGTAGGCCTAATAATCGAACACACAGTTAACAAGTAAAGTTGATTTCTTAGCCTGACAATAATTTCAGTAAAGTCACAAACCTTCCTTCTCAATTTGTAAAACTTATTTTGTTTATTTCAGGACTTTTCTGATCCCTGCTAACCTAGCCACTAAAAAGATCAAGTAGAGCAAATGTATGCAGCTATTCAGATGTTTGAACTACTTGCAACTGTAATTTGTTGAAACATGATGTTGATTTGAGCAACAAGCTTGCAGTTTCAAGCTGCATACCAAAAATGTCACAAAGCAAGAAATCACCTATTACATTTGAGCAGGAAGAGCAATTATGGGAAAAGAAACATTTCAATTTAGACTCTTCAACAGGTCTCATACATGCTGTCATTTTCTACCTAATCAAGTGTTTTGGTGTGTGGCAGGGCAAGTACCTAAAAATGTTAACAACAGAACATGTTAAATTTGGAGAGGATGAGCAAGGGAAGTACATCTCCATTGACACTAAATCAATATTAGGTGTTGGAAAAGTCATTAAGCGTTATGATGACCCAGGGAACCCACGAAGCGTGTACAAAATTTTTAAAATTTATCAAGGCTACTTAGCAAATGAAGGGCCCTTCCTTCTTCGTCCTATTACATCAATAAAAGACTATGTTTGTTACAGCCCCTGGGCACTTGGGGTTGGTATAATTAATCAGACTGTACGCAATTTGATGTCGGAAATTGGAGATGGGCAGCCTTATGCAAATTCTTCAATAAGTCTCTTTGCTCTCGACATGCTAAAGGGAACAGGCATAGGTTATCACTGCATCGGTACGTGGACACAGCATCTGTGCATTTCTCATACCAAATCCTACCTCAGTGATATTTTTGACAGCTGTTCTGTTGTGAATTGTGAAGATAAAAACAAAGAACTCTGTCTTCTGGTTAGCAGAATGCTTGATCCCCCTTACCCGTGTACTTCTTTGGTGGAGGAGAGAATAAAGGTAGCCAAGGAACTGAAGAAGAGCAAAATTAATGCTTATGACTCTTGGTTAGAAAACATTAGCACAAAATTCTCTGGTGATGAAGAAGCTGTTTTACAAAATATGGAAGAGATGCCAGAGAAGCCACCATTGAAGAGGAAGTCAAGTGGTTCTTCTAAAGTCCAATCAAACAGTCAACTCTGCTCACCTTTTAATAATAAAAGACAACATGCAGATCCATCAATAAAATCAGAAATATTAAATTTGGAGGCGGACATTTGTAAAAGTGTTAAAGAGGATTTAGACAATAATGGAGTCTTGTCTCATGACTCGTGGTTTAAAAATATCAGCACTGATGATAATGATGAGGATGTCATTTACCAAAAGACTGAAGAGCTCTCAGAGAAAGAAACCCATAGCTCAACAAAAGTAAGTGGCTTACTTAAAAGTCACCCTCCCAGTAAGAAAATTAAAAATCAAAATTTAAATGTGAAGAGAGCATCAGCAGATTGTAGTTTATCTTTGAATCCATCTACTTCCCAGAGTAATATACCCACTCCCAAAATCAAGGATTATAATACGACTAAAGTTAAAATCACATCAGTTTCATCTATTCCAGAGAGTGATTTTTCAGTACAAGTAGATGAAGTGGGGCTATCGGCTTTGAATAAGTTGTCTAACAGTAAAAATAAATTTAAAGGGCAAAATATGAAAACGTGTATAGATGTAGTGACTAGAGAAGTGACTAAACCAAATCAAACAGTGAATGACCAGTGCTCTTTCAAACTAGAAGACCCCGTAGAATTTTTACCACTGACATTCATCAAAGAGGAGGTGAAAGAAACAGCTGATGATGACAATTTTGAGAGTGAAACCAGTTCAGAGCTAGAAAATGTCACAGTTCCTGTGGAACTTGCAGATGCCTCGGGCTATGAAACACAAGCCAATGAAATTGTAACTGATGTCATTTATCCCACAGGTTCCGTGCACATGCCAACCTCACCCAGCAATGGGTTGTTTTCAGAATCTGCAGCAAAATCATTCTCAGCACAGCAGTCCCCAGATCCTAATTTAGACAGCTTTCAGATGTTAAAGACGATAATCAAGCAAGAGAGTGAAGATGATTTTCATTGTGTGTCGGGGACTGAGAGTCCCACAGGGAGCAGCAGTGAAGGTCCACTAGAAAAAGACAGTCCTTCAGAATTGGACAACAGCTGTGCAGATTCAGAACACAGCTTTTCTGCTAATGTTAATGGAAACCTCAACTTAACACCTGTACCGCCCTCACCACAGTCCAACGGTGAAGAGGCTCATCGAGGCATTTTCATAGAGACTCAGCCAGATACAGCAAAAAATAAAAACCTAGTTCATTTGGAAAATATTTCATCAACACCAGTTGCTGGCAGCAACAACTTGTTTGATTTTTCCAAGCGTAGTTGTTTTGAGAAATCCCTGAAAATTGTTAACAAAAATTTAAAGACTAAAAAAACAATGGCTTTAGTAAAACCGTCAACCCTAGAGAGAGAAGGTTCAAAAATAAAAGAATCTATAAAGTCCTCAACATGTGACTGCTTGCACACATGTAATATATCAGAGAAACCAGAACCACCACCAAACTTCCTATCATGTCTTTGTAAGACACGGCAGAGCAAAGAAAACTCTTGCCACTCATCTGTTCTTGACGACTCTTCTAATCTGCTGGGGTCTTTATCTAAGTCACCACCTGTGATTAAACATAATACAGAACCAATGACACTGGAGACTGACTTGAATGCATTGAAAAGATCCATTTCAGACTTGAACTTACAAACAAATGAAACACAACAGAACGGTTCAAAATCAAAGACAACTTCCCAAACAAGAAGTTCTCTGAAAAAAATCTCAGAATTTAGTAAAACCAAAAGTAAATTGTTCTGGCGATACAGACAGAAACGACTGAGATCTATCAAAAAGCAAAGTGCTCTACCTGGCCCCCCACAAACATCATCCTCATCGTCCCCATTTTGGCCCTTTTCTTCATCATCTCTGGTAAACTCTATGGGTGCTCGCCTTAAACCAAGCTCAGGTATATACCACTTCAGGAGTGATCGCCATGAGCACGCAGCTTATCAAACCCTGCAAATTAAAAAGGAGAAACGATCCCAAATGTTTTTGATTGGGGACATATCCTTGGATAATTACACCAAGAGAGATGACCCCGATGAGCAGAGCACTATTGGTGTCACCACTTCTGAGATCAGTATTGGAGATTACTTTCCTAAGGGAACGGTTATTCCTGCAAGTGGTCTCAAATTGTTTACCAAGTATGGGCCAGATGGGCTAGAAGTTATACTCAAATTTGACTTTAGTGACAACAATACAGGTTGTACCTCATAGTTTATGTGAATATGTGGAACAAGGTTCCATAGCTAGTCATACAACTTCTGACCCTACCTCAGCTTCAAGCACTTCATTATAGCACCCTCATCTTACATAATTACAAGCAAGAACATTTCTAGGATGATTAAGGAAATAAGTGTTTCAAAATGAATGACATCCTATCACATCAAAGATACTTGCCTAGTGTTAATACCGGGTATTTATTTATTGAGGTATGTATTACCATTACCATGTTGTCAAAAGTTTAGTCAGACAATCACTCTTAAAAGTAAATCTTTATTGATTCCAATGTAATAACAGTGCTGCAATACAAATGTTTGTTGCTTTATTTTTGTATAAGGTCTATGCAATGCATGCACAATGAGACACCTGTTTGTTATTTTAAATTGCACATTTCCATTAAATGGAATGAGAGACTTCCAGCTAATTTGATAAAGATAATAACAGAGTTATTCTTGTTTTAATTGTAACTGTGCAAAAAGAATCAGAATCTGTCTGATAAACTTGAAAATAATTTATACAGAGGACACAGATAGCCCGCTGCCAAGCTTTCATTGGATATGAATAAATTATGATTGATGCACGTTTAAGTTTCTGTACTTTACTATTTAGAATCAGTTTTTGACTCACTCTGACAAGGTGTAAATGTGTCGATTAAAACAAATAGTGTATACAGTGCAGCATTATTTCAAAGGGAAAAATATTACTACTTTTATCCCTAGAGGTATAGGAGAATTATAACTCTTGACAATACTGATCAACGCAGTGTAATAATCAAAGAATCCTTTTCTGTTGTTTGATGAATTAAATACTGCTTTTATTGAACTGGCTGTATGAACAATATTTGTTGTATGAATCAACATTCTTTTCCTCCAAACTTTGCATGTTGCATTTGTTAACCCCGTTTTATAGGCTGATCTCCTTCTGCCCAGGTGGGCTGTGCCGTCGCCAATATTCACAATAGGCAAAGTGGCTCAGATATTGTGGCAAATAGGATTTTTAACTTTTTTATCTTTCAGATTTCATTGACACTTATAATTCGTTTCTATTGTTCAGTTTCACTTGAATTTTCCTCCATGATCATATTATTGCTAACATTTATGGCCATTGGTAGTGAAGGTAAACACAACACGGCTACTGAAAACTGGCCACTGGAAAAAATAGTGCCAGGTGGCTGAATTGTTTTTAGTTTCGCCCATTCCTTTTTATGGCTATGGCATTTGAATGATCCGTTGGCATGATGCATTCCGTGCTTCTATACAAACTGTATGACACTCCATCAAACACATTTGAAATGTGGGTTGACTAAGTCCACATCATGAGTGTCAGTTGACTTAGTCCATCAAAAAAATGTCAGTTGACTTAATCCAACTCACAAATGTCATTTGACTTAGTCTACCACTGAGTACCACATGTATGTCAGTATCAAGTCTCAACACCAACAATCTCTCCACTTAAAAAAAGTTTTTTTCACAAATCTTTAAGTCTCTGTCAACATGTCTGTGTGAATCGACATTATCTATAGTCATAATTATTCATAAAAGAACAAATGTGAAGTATAAATATTTCTTTAAAAGATAAGATAAGATTCTTTTATTGATCCAAACAAATGGAAATGTTTTTTGATTGCATTGTAAATTTTCAGCACATAAATAAAACAATTTAGAGACATCCACATCAAATTATTTCACTAGAAATGGAGACGTAGGTGAGATGTTCAGCAAACTATTTCAAGAGTAGAGTCATATGTTTTTCCAGCTTTTCAGAATAAATCCTCTAAAAAAAAAAATTTCACATCCAATCAATCAATGAACATGTGACCTGGCAGTTATTTTTGAGTCTTACCATTTATTTAGTTTTAAACCAAAAACACAAATTATTACCTTTTAAGAATGAGCTGGATTATTAACATTTTTCATCTGCTGCAGATTGCATTGAAAAATGAGTTCCCTGACCTGGCCCTATGGTTTGGTATGTAAATAAGCATCATATATGTATAATATATTGTACTAATTTATACAGTAATGAACTATTGTACATACAATTAATGTAATGGATTTATTATTTTTTTTAATTAATCTAAATTGCACTGAACTTATGTATATTTTAACTTGAATTAAAAATGCAGTGTTTATTAATGTCTATGCTTCTGTTTGATTATTTGTGTCAGTTCGATCATTAATGTCTTGTCCCTGTTTGATCATTAGTGTCTTATCCCTGTTTGATCATTACTGTCTTTGTCTAGATGCCCTAAAGAAATGCTCGATTAGATCTCATGATGTGCTCTAGCAAACAATGTGTAGGATTCTATAATGTCACCAGATGCATAAAGAAAACAGATGAACAATGGGTGGTGTGAGGGGGCATAGGTTGGTAGGGGCTGATATGGGACAAGGTTTGGGTGGGGGGATAGGGATGTGGTGGATCTTTGTAATATTTGGCTTGGAAGAAGAGTTTGGGGTGGAGGGGAGGTGACTGGGATGACCTTAGTTATGTGTAAAATGATACACACAATGGATTAAGTTTAGTAGGTATGAATTCCTCACACATTTTGGATTTATTGTAGTTGGTATGTATTCCACACACCCTGTACTTACTCTTGTAGTAGCAGGTATGCATCCCACACACGCACCCTGGATTTGTTCTAGTTGGTATGCTTTCCACACACCCTGGATTTATTCTAGTTGGTATGCATCCACACACCCTGGATTTATTCTAGTTGGTATGCATTCCACACACCCTGACTGTATTCTAGTTCTTATGCATTCCACACATCCAGGATTTATTCTAGTAGGTTTGCATTCAACACACACACCCTGTATTTATTCTAGTATGTATGCACTCCACACACTTCAGGTTTTTCTTAGTATTTTCTTAATAACACAATGTTTGAATTGCAAAATACCTTTTTTATTAACATATATATTTTTGTTATACAAGGTAGAGCAAGGAAAGAAGAATTCTACTAAGTGGAGAACAATTTATAAAGAATGTGTTAAGCCTGAACATTAACTTAAGCATTAAATACTCTTGACGACCATCCATCAAATGTAAAATCCTTGTCTTCAGTAGTGGCTCATTTTACACTGGGGGAACTTCAACATTGTCATAGCATTCATTGACTGAAGCTGCTCCAGTTGAATCAGTAGTTTTATCTTAAAAAAAAAAAAAGACTTGTTTAAAACTTGGGTTGCTTACCAGTACCTATTAACAGATCATGTCTATTTCCTTATTACTTTATAAGTTATGCACTGTATCTACATGTGGCATAGTGGGCCACTCTTATGAAAAAGAGTGTACACTACCAAACACTGTTGTGGATTTTGAACTAGGGGTTAGGTTATCACAACATTGTATAACGGCTTCTCCCACACCACCTAGAATACTTAGGTATTGGAAACCAATATTTGTGATTTTCGTATAAGTTCATTAATTTATTTCTTAGGAACCCTAGGATATTAAATATAAATTATATCTTGTCGTAAAGGGGATTTTATTCTCTATACCTTAGTATATGGCAGGAGGATATTGTGATATTAAGTAGTTAAAGGAGTTTTCACATTCATCAATGGGGTATCCCAACACCCTCTATTTAAAATATCTCAAAGACCATTTAAATTATATGAATACAAAAGTGTATTATAGCTACACATAAGTTTTCGAGATTTTGGTCCGGGATTTTGACTTTTATTCGGGTTGGAGTTTCTGGGGATTGTCAGTTTACCTCAGGAAATCTGCCAAAAGTCAAGTAATAGACCAGCCTGTTCGATGTGTTACGTAGATGCTCCCTGGCAGATTCAAGCGACACTATGTATAGTGTGAGTGAGAATGGGCTTTTGCATTCAAAGTTTTAATCACATCCCTAAAATGTGTCATTATTCACCGGCACATTTAGACAATTTTTTTTCTTCTTAAATAACTTTAAAATCTTTTCCAATTGAACAGTCATGGATGGGAGACTTAGAATCTGCCCCTCCCATCTCCGAACCCATGCTGCTGGGACCCATGCCAAAGCCCACAGTTTTTGTGTAAAATATAACTTGCAGACTCACGTCAATGGACTAGCACTTGTTGTTTGAAGCATTTCCTAAAGAGAAAGGCAAATGATTGAAAAGATTTTAACGCCAGCTCCACAAGCACTTACTATCGGGGCATCGTATGCAAGTTGTCATATTTTCTCTGTCTTGATAGTATCCCCTGGCACAGGGCGTGCAAGTTCCATTACTTGTTGAATAGGAACCAGGTGCACATCTGACCGGCACAGGAGGGGCAGATCTCACTGTTGAAGTAAAGTTAAAATGTTTAAGAGAGACGTTTGACAAAAGTAAAAGCAGATTCTCATCGTGAAAGCGTCATCACAGTCTTTAGAAATTTTAAAGCTAACCAGTAACTTATTTAATATGCGTGGTAAACTATGAACTTAACAAGAGAGGTTGAAAGCCAATATATGCAAAACCTGTTGTAGCCAACAATAAAGGATAATATAATGTAGAGCGTTCAGGCAGTGTGAAGAAACTAGTAGAGCCAGATATGCTCAGGCTTGAAATAAAAAGACAGGAACATTTAAAGGACGTGTTGGCTTGAATCCTTCCTCAGCAGACAAGACAAAACAAGAAACAACAAATAAATAGAAATAAAAACGTATGTGTTTGTAGCTCTTTATTTAGAGATGGAGGCACTCTATATGTTAGTAGCAAGCAGGAGTTTACATGAATAATTTGGATATTTATAATGTTATCCTTTCTCACTGAGTTAGAATAAACCGTTAGTCTTCTAACGACATTTTGTTTTCCCGATTAAACTGGTTAAAATAAGAACTTATGAGAGAATTATTTCTGCAGGGTAACTTTATTTGATGTATTAATTTAAACATTCACCTTGACAGACAGGTTTTGGTGCGCCCCAGACATTGTTTCTGCAACGGATGGTTTGTTGTCCAACACGCTCATAACCTTCATCACAGTAATAGCAACACAGTCTTGGATTGGTGGCTGGTACACAACGAGTTCTTCCATTAGAGATTGTGGTGTACTCTGAAGGACATCTGCCTGCTGCAAATGTAACAGTAACACACACTTATCAAATATCTGGAAATAATTCAAGTATGCCTTATTTTCAATTGGAAGGAGAGAGCAGGGAGATGTATAATATAACATTTACTTTTAATATTACAAATCAACATATTGCACTATAAAATATTTCATTTACAAAACATGATATAACAAATAGTTCCTTAATTTAATGGCTTAACAATTAATTTAAAAAATTAAATCTATATGCAACTTAAAATTATTTATATGTAAAGCATGGTACCGTTACTTAAAACAACAACACTACTAACAGACAATGACTTGTTTACATAAGAGTAAAAATTTCTATTGAACTCAATGCAAAATCAAATAATTTCTTTACAGGAATGACCCATTTAAATTGACCTACATTAAAGTATCAGAAATAAACTAAGAAATGCAACAGTTAAGTGTAAAAATATTAACCATTTAACATGTTTAATAATAATTTAAATTGTTCTAAGTCTATTAATTTTGATTGTTTGGCTTTTCAACACCAAGGGCAACACTATTATTAATTATCTCTTTAAAATTAACAAAAATTAGCTCTTTAAAAAATTTTAAAAAATAGCATTATTTTAGTTTTCTTTACCTGTAACTGTATTTTGTCTTCGCTGGCCCCATCTCTTTTCCCTGTGTCCTGAGGCTAATAGGTATGGTTTCATATTCATATACAAAATGGAAAAAGAAATAAATTAAGTCTTACTTTCATTTGACTTCTAAAACTGTCACTCTTGGTAGAGATTTAATGCATCTGGTTTAAAAATAAACCCAATGATGATGACGATAAAAATTTAAGAAATACTTCCTGGTACTGGTATGCAAATGATTTATTATGCCCTTTAACTAACTTTAAGAATTTATTAAATAATTGTTATTTGATTTGTTTTGTTGCGTTCTTTTTTTTCAGGTTTCCCATACTTTGTTTAGCTCATTTCCATTAAACTTTTTATTTTGTCTGAGGCATGTCATCTCATTGGCCAAGACTCCTTTATCACATATCAATTAATTTAATCAAATTAGTTCAGCCTAGATATAGGTAATTCAAATGGCTTATAAACTAAGACAAGGCTCACAAGATACTAATTACAAAAAATTATAAATTCCAATCAGCCTGTAGTTGTTGAATTTGCCATACATGCGAATCGCGGCGATGCGCGTCCGGGTTTCATGAGACCAATGCTATTCGGATTCGGATGTCATTTGTGGTAGTTTATTTTAGTTAAACTTTAAACCGAAGAAGTAAATTTACAAACATATAGTCCATTCCATTAATATTATCTTTCATTTGATACCTCATTCTGTCTTACAAACCCAACAATTATATTTTAAATAGCTTTTTAATCCCATCCTCTCACTTCTGGTACCCGGGTGCGAATAGCCACTTCGAAAAATAAAATCTAAAAATGTAACTGTTGAACATGTAGGTTACGCAGTGCTTACCAATAAAATTACAAACTTAAATATTTTGAATCAATAAATTATTGAAACAAAACTTTTGATTAATTTTTCTAGAAACTATTTCCTGCCCATTTCCAAATTATATTAGATCTAGTTTTTTTCTAATAATCAGAGTATATAGACTAAATATAGAGTTAGGTCTAATAATGTTTAATTATTGTTTGTTATACAGAGTGTGTTACAAAAGTGTGTATTAATGTTAAGTTTTTCATTATTTATGCATGGGCCTATATAAAAAAAGATATAGTGGTACTAAGATAAATAAGTTGCTCACCGTAATCTGTCCACTTCCCTCCCTGACAAATAAGAAAGTCAGCTTCAGTGCCTACTAGCATTGATTTACAAAGTGTAAATTCTGGTAGGATTGTAGCATCTTCTAGAACTGGATCTATGGTTCTGCTAAGAGAACCATCTTCTTGGACTGTGTAGCACTCCGAGATGATAAGTTTTGGATCAAAATCACAATGTTTCATCTGGAAGTTACGGGGAAGAAATAAGGTGTAGGCCTACTTTTGTTTAGTTAATGAAAATTATTTTAATTTCAAACCTTTAGATCTTTATTTATTAACTACCAATCCACGTTTCATTGTTTTTAAATTAAGGACATAAATAATGATAAATTACTAGCTGAGAAATAGATTAATTGGCCATAACTTAACGAATCAAATGGTGCACTTAATTAACGAGTCACTATACATTATACAGTGACTTGATTAGGTATCTTTATTTAAATTTTATATTTGTTTGCGCAGCTCGTGTAATTCTGAAATAAAAATTAACCTAAGTGTAAAGGGGGGGAATGGGGATTATGGAGGGGTGACATTTTCAGCCAACTGAAGAGTTGTGTTTTTTTTTTTGTGTGTGGGTTCGGCTTAATATGATCCGCCTGGGGGGGGGGGGGACGACACACACATGGTATCGACACAAATCATAGCCACGCTGGAGCAACAAGCTGCTGATATTTCAAGTGTAGCATTTGTTAAATACTTTCATTAGGCTTAATTGAATAAACGTTAACTTTTGATTATTGTCACACTGAACCAAGAAGAAGTTTCAGTTCTAACAATTTAAATGATGATATAATGTAGCTTTTAGATCAACAAGATAAGTTATATTCTATTTATCTGCCTACTTCTAGCTTGTCATTGTCACCCTCTTCTAGTTCTTGCTCTAAGATGGCACCATCAACAAATGACATACATAGGATGCTTAGCACCAACAAAGCGATCCCACACGGAGCATGTACGGAGCGATTCCAGACCATCTTCAAATACTAGGTTGTTGCACTGAAAATATATTAACATATCGAAAATTATAACACAACGAGAGAATAAAATAACAAAAATGCATTTTGTAGAAAAACAGTACAAAGGTGCTTTATGAAAAATAAAGTTAAAAAGGGCTAGGATCTCCACTATTCTAAAATATAATACACCAATATTAAGAAGTAAACAATTTAATATTAGAGATTGAAGAATGTGAAGATAATTATCTTTAAACATATAAATAAATTTAATGCAATAGGTCAGTAAGAAACGCAAACTCTACTCACCAACTGTTCTTTTTTAAAAGGTTTAGACAACAGAGGCTGGTTTTATAGTCACGAATTCAGGATGCTGTCACCGAACTTGAGATTTTCTGATTACTCTAAATGCTGGTACACTCAAGGATGTAGGATGCAGTTGTCTGAGTGGGTCTAAAAGAGGTTTACATTGTTTTCAAAAGCAAAATATTCAGGTCTGTCGCGTAGGCACTGCATTCACTGGGACTGAAGGGCCGTCTTAACATTAACAAGGGGGTGGGGGGTGGGTGGGGAAGGGGCACTGGGCAAAGGAATGCTCTGAGGCTACCTGTAACCCATTTAAGTAGTGTAAGGAAATGAATTTGGGTTCCATGGTACCCATGCGTTATACCAAGTGTTTCTTTCATTTGGGTCCAGGGTGTACATGCAGCATTATGACCACTGTTTCTTTCACTGAAGTCCATGATGCCCATGCGTGATGACCAGTGTTTCTTTCAGACAATTTCTGGATCAATGGATTTTCTATTTCAATTGACACATTTTTCTCCCACCATTTACAACCCCCCCCCCCCCCCCCCCCCCCACCCCCCACCCCCCGCCCCCCAATCGAATTGATTTTAAAATATAAAAGGACTAGTTCAAAAAATCTTTGGCAATCTGCTTCTCACTGCACTTTTAAAGACAATTATGTTGACTAAAGATATTTCAATATTGACTTACAATATAGGCAACTTAATGCCCATAGAAATGCGAGGCCCTGGGAAACTACCCAATGTGCCGCTGTCTTAAGCCGGCAATGACTGCGGGGTGGGGGACACGGATATTTAAGGGCCCCATATTGTGATGTGGGAAAAAAATGCTACCAATTATTTTAAAAGCATTGAAATGGCAGGGGGGGGGGGTGGTTTTCCAGAAATCACGTGACGTCTCTAATAATATTTTGGTATATTTTAACACATTTCCATACATTTTTAACAACCAGATATTGAAAAATGAGGAACCACGATTTTTTTAAAGAAATAAATGATAGGCAACTACCAATATTTAAGATGTGATTTTAAACATTCTAATTGATCAACAGGTAGTAAGATAAAAACACTGACCATAGTTTGAGAACCACTATACTATCAACACCCGCTTACCTTTGTTACTCTTTGATACACATATTATTAGTGACATTTGAGATACTTGCTCCAGTGACATTTGAGGTACTTGGTCCAGTGACATTTGAGGTACTTGCTCCAGTGACATTGGAGGTACTTGCTACGGTGACATTTGAGGTACTTGCTCCAGTGACATTTGATGTACTTACTTCAGTACATCCTACTGGGTGTATAGTGCATCCTACTGGTTGTGTAGTACATCCTACTGGTTGTGTAGTACAGCCTACTGGATGTGCAGTGCACCCTAATGGGTGTGTTGTACATCCTAATGTGTGTGAAGCACATCCTAATGTGTGTGAAGCACATCCTACTGTGTGTTTTGAACAGCCTAGTGGGTGTGTAGTGCACCCTAATGTGTGTGTAGCACATCCTAATGTTTGTGAAGCACATCCTACTGTGTGTTTTGAACAGCCTAGTGGGTGTGTAGTGCACCCTAATGGGTGTGTTGTACATCCTAATGTGTGTGTAGCACATCCTACTGTGTGTGTAGCACATCCTACTGTGTGTTTTGAACAGCCCAGTGGGTGTACAGTGCAGCCTAATGGGTGTGTTGTACATCCTAATGTGTGTGTAGCACATCCTACTGTGTGTTTTGAACAGCCTAGTGGGTGTACAGTGCAGCCTTCTGGGTGTTTAGTGTACATTCATTAATTCGATTCAACTCCTCTACATGTTATTATAAAGGCAACAACCTCAAGCCGCCCCTGACGCAGGTCATGTAAATGACGCACTCTATTTTCATCTAATTATCGTGTGACCTCATGACCTTATGCGTTTATTTTTATGCTCTAAAACGTAATCACTTTCTCAGAAGAAAAAAAAAAGAAGTTTAACCCCCTTATAATTTTAAAAAAGCCAGGATAACAACATCAACATTGTCTTAACAATCTCTTAACGCCAGTTGCCCCAGATTGACACAATTGGGCACCAACAGAAAGCCGTTGTGAGCAACACGGATGTCATCTGAGGTTTGACTAGACCGCAGCCAAACAAGGGTTTTAAAGTGTTACTCGGGACAACACGAGGATGCAGACAAACACTTGACAAAGATGAAAGTGGGTGTCAGTTTAAAAATGACATGACCTGATGCCGGTTGGCTCAGTGTCGCAGGATGGGGTGTGCGGAAAGGGGTTTTTCAGCCCCCAGGGGGGCGCAATATTTCCTCATATTCGGGGGGGGGGCATTTTCGACCAACTGCAGAGTTTTTTTCGTGGGGGGGGGGGAGAGGGGAAAGGCTGGACCCACCAGGAATGACATAACCCTAGCTCCGCCACTGCGTAGGGTTGTCAGCAGAGGTACGTTTCCACATAGTCAAAAGCTACAACAACAACCACAAGAAAGCAACAAAAAAGTAAATAAAAATATTTATCTTGGGGGACGATTTGTATCAGACTAAGCCAGAGATTCCCAAAGTGGTATATAGCGACCCTCAGGGGTCGACGACAACTTGCAAGGGGTCCATGTCAGCGGAAAAAATATTGGGGACCATGAAATGAAAATGGGGCTCAACGATAGTTGACCTCATGTAAGCAGGTCCTGGCTTCTATTTTAGCATTCCATGAAGGGAATAATCCAAATACACAGATAATACCTATTTACTTACATCATATTACTTTGTAATAGAAAGACACATCTCTTCGGAAATAAATGATAAAAGTACCCCCTTTTATTTATTTTTTAAAATTTCAATCAATATCAGGTAAGCAGGGGGTCTACCCAAAACCGAAAACCATGGCAAGTGGTCAACAAGACAAAAAAGTTTGGGAACCACTGTTGATGTTGTTTGAAGGGATCCGGTAAAGTGTCTATGGTTGCATACAATAATATCCAACCATTAGCTTTTGTAAAGAGGTGGAAGTGGGCGGGGAGCAAACACAACACTCAACGCTCTAACATTTATAACTCACAAAAAAAAAAAAAAAAAAAAAAAAAAATAAAAAAAAACATTGAGTGTTTAATCTCACAAATGACTGGGGCGGGGTACAGTGCAAAGCTTAATTGTTGTTAAGGTACCTTGAGGCGGTGGTACAGGACAGAGCTTAATTTGTTTTAAGGTACCTTGAGGCTGTGGTACGGGACAGCGCTTAATTGTTTTTAAGGTACCTTGATACCCATCATATAAATGACAGAGAGGAGCGGTCCTGTTCTGAACACTACTACATCAATACAGTTTGTGATAAGTCAGGACCAGAGCCCTCCTCATCAAGAACCGTTCTGTGACATTCAATAATCTTGATTTTTATTACACACAAAAAAAAAAAAAATTATAAAGCAAAAAGTCACCAATAAACTTATAAAAAGGATGTCATACGTTAAATAAAGCTCGTCTATGTGATGCAAAAAAAAAAAAGGTAGATAGAATCATCATTGTTCTATAATTTATTCCAACTCAGTAGGCTTACTGGTGTTTTNGTTTCATTTGTGATTAGGTGGGTTGAACAAAAGGGGTTTGGGGGGGGGGGGGATCAATATAGCCTTTTGCTTTGTTTAATGCTGTATAACAGTGTTATCTTACGGCCTACATATTTTAATTTTAATGCAACTTTTTTACTTTCATTAAGTTTCGTTGCTCATATATTTAGTTTCATTTGTTACGTATCTATTTATCTCCATGTAATGGAAATTAAAATTTATGTAACGGCGCCCACTCGCCTCCAAGACACTGTGGTGTAACGTCAGTGCTAGAAAACGTCAATGAAGATACTAGGTAGCCTGAAAAAGATATATTTTTTTCAAATATGAAGAAACAACTCTTTCCCAGACAGCAGACCCAATATTCTTTCCACGCAGAGGCGCCACTAGGGTTTGTGTCACCCGGTGTGGTGAGCTCATGGTGTTACCCCCCCCCCCTCCATCGCCCCCACCTTTCGGACCTGCACAGTGTTTATTTCAGACGCCCCCCCACCCCCCCCAATGAAATCCACATGGATAAAGAAAAAGAGGAAGCCCTAAAAATAAATGGAGACGCGAGCTAGAGGCAGACACACAGAGTATGGGATACATCTGGAAGCATCTAGACAGGAAAGCACGGGGCCGAGATGAAGTATTTTAATTATTTCAAAATAAAGAGTTGCATTTTGGGATGTAGTTGAATTCAACGTTTCTATCCATTTTTGTTTGGTTGTTAGTTATTTGAGTTGTGTACTCAAGTAATCCATAAAATAAATTAGGGGCCAGTAAGGCAGCCAATAAACTCATTCAATTAGGTCACATCATTCCTTTGCCATTTGTCTCCTTTTACTTTCTCACATTCCTTGTTGGTAACCGTACAGTTAACTATTGTTTGTATCATTTCTTCATTTAAGTACAGATGTAATTTTTGAGTGGGAGCAAATAAATGTGATCTGTGAAGGGAGTTTGGTTTCAAGGCAACTAAGTCATGCCACATTGAAAATAAAATACTGATAACCCTAAATAAATAGAGCCATTGAAAAAAATATAGTACATACAAACCATACACAAACAGAAAGAAAAAAATCCACTAAAGTTTTTTTTTTTAAAATTTGTTGTGACTTTTATTGCAAAAAATTAATTTAATACCAATTTTGACTTTTACGCAAAATGAATAAAGACAAATTTGTATTGCATGATATTGTAACTTATTGTACTGTATTGTAAATGAAACTTGGCATACACATTAAGAATAACATTGACATAAAGTTTAAAGAAGCTTATTACACAGCAGTTATTGGAAATGTTACAAATGGCATGTATCTGGG